TTAGGGACTTTCTCACAATTTTCTCAATATGACTTTCAAAGGACAATTTTGTATCCAAAGTAACACCTAAGTCAACTATCTCATCAGAAAACGACAGTTTATCATTGTCAATATTGAGCGAAGAGATGGGTGGATTCGGGCTACGAGTAAATATGATTTGACTACATTTCTTAGTATTTAGTGAAAATTTATATATTTTACAATATTCCGAAAAGCGATCGAGGTCCTCCTGTATTAAACTATAATCCGAGAGAGATTTTAAAGGAGAGAAAATTTTCATATCATCGGCATATAATGAGATATTGCAGTGATGGAAACAGCTCCCGACGTCACTTACATAGATACTAAATAGTAGCGGCCCTAGATGGGAGCCCTGAGGAACCCCCGAGGTAACTGGCAGCAAATCAGACTTTGTGTTATTCAGTGCTATGTACTGAAATCTGTCCTGAACATATGACGTAACAAGTCCCAGCAGGTAACCATGCACACCGAAATTTCTAAGCCTTATTAACAAGGTAGGATGATGAACCTTGTCAAAAGCCTTAGAAAAATCGGTGTACACCGCACAAGTTGAGATCCCCTTCTCCATGTTGCCATAAATATCTTGTACATAGGGCACCAGGTTTGTAAGTGCAGAACGCTTTTTGAAAAAACCATGTTGAGTAGTGGTGATAGAATTTTTGACCATAAAAAACATTATCTTACAAATTATAAATTCAAATATTTTACCAAATAAACTTAGCAGAGATATCGGCCTGTAATTTGTTGCATCGTTAATGTCTCCCGATTTGTGTATCGGTAACACTTGAGCTATTTTCCAAACTTTGGGATATGTACCTTCACGTAGACATTTATTGTACAGTATGTGAAGGGGCTCAACCAGACTTTCCTTACATGATTTCAAAAATACTGCAGGGAAACCATCAGGGCCACTTCCTTTATTATTATCTAACTGTGACAATGCGGCCAGAATTTCTTCCTTACTGATTTGTTTTATATCAAAGTTATTGGAGGTGCTTGAAAGATCCAGGAGGGATGGGGTTGAGTTGGACTCGTATACACTCCCAAAGTACTCACCAAATATTTCACAAATAGTTGAACAATCAGTACCCTGCCTATCCTTGAAGTTCATGTGTCGGGGAAAGGAGCTGCATTTCTTTTTATTTGACACAAATGACCAAAATACTTTAGAGTTTGACTTTAAATTACTTTCCGATATAGCAACGTACTTATCAAAATCTTGTTTAATGCATATTTTAATTTTTTTCCTTAAAGTAGAAAATTGTTGATAATCAACTTGATTTCTATACTTAATCCACTTATTATGAGCCTTATCTTTGGCACAAATCATTTTGATAGTTCTCTTAGCAAACCAATGAGGATATGAGCCTTTTGAAATAATTTTAATGGGGACGCACTCCTCGACAACATCATTCAGAAAATTGTAGAACTTTTGAACGCTCACTTCAACATCTGAAGCTTTGAGGATATTATTCCAATTGATGTTATCGAGAGTAGTGTTGATTCGATCGTAATTAGCTTTTTTGTATAACAATTTCTTATAGTTATTGCTTGATAATGATTTGCAACTCGACAGTTTAAGTACAGCCTCCAAAGATTTGTGATGTGAGTCCTCTTTGACGAGCGGATAATTACATTGTGTCACCAACATATCAATTTTGGGGGACATCACCAGGTCTAATATCCTACCGTTAACATTTCTAATATTATTGTATTGTTTGAGTTGTAGCAGAGAGAAAAAATTAATAAAGTATTCAGTCTTGGTATCCGTGGCATTGGACGGGATGAAGCTACTCATGTCGGCTTTAGGTTGCCAATTAATATTGGCTAAGTTGAAATCTCCTGTTATTATGATAAAATCATGACGATTTCTATCGAAAATATATTCGACTTTATCAAAAAATTCAACTAGGTCATGAACATTTGCATCAGGCGGGACATAGGTACAACAAAGTAAAAGCTTCTTACCCCCGTTCAAAACCACAGATATCCAAAGGTCTTCCACTTTTCAGTTCGTGCACCAGTTTGGCATTGCTTGAGAATGAAAACTACTATCTACACCAATCATTACACCACCTCCATGTGATTTTCCACTACGAACAGGATCACGATCTCTTCTGTGTACGGTATATGTTGGAGGAAATATTTCGGAATTGAGAACATCACTATCTAACCACGTTTCAGTTATGCACACAAATTGGTTATCAGCATCACATACCGACTGGTAAAAGTCATTGGTTTTAGTATTCTGATAGAACAATCTTAGCTCGAATTCTGTATCAAATATCACCAAACTATAGCCTAAGAAAATATTTAAAGGAGTTATGCTGTAGAAATATTCCCAAGGCTACTTTCATTAGTTATAAGATACGCACGAGAAGTTTCATCCTTCTTCACAAATATTTTGGATTGTTTAACCCAGCAAAACTTGAAATTGTTCGAGCGGCAGAATTCTCTTGATTTTTTGTGAATCATCTTGAAATAGGGAGACAAATGATCATTCATGTAAAAAACTCCTTCACCCTGGAAACCAACATCACGCAATTTGATGCTACGTCCTCGTGGTACCCCTGACGATTCCACAACTAGATTCTTCTTGTAGTTCGATGAAAATTTGACGATAATGTTCTTTACTTGATTTTTATTTTCATTGTTGGGGTTGGGAAATGACTTCACTCGATGACATTCCTCTATATCACCATCGGAAAAGTTAACACCCATCTTGGAAAAAATGCTAGTTATCAGTCTTAACGTGTTTTCATTCGGCATTTCAGGCACTCCGCAGATTTCCAGGTTGTTATTACGACCTTGTTGTTGCAGCGTCTCGATTTCGGTACGAATAGTTGCATATTCATTTTTTAGGTACGTAACGTCTTGTTTCAACACTTGAACTGAGTTGATACTTTTTTGAAAGTCATCAATTCGTTTACCAAAATCATCGATTTTGGCGCCATAAAAATTTAGTGATTCATGGAATTCATTCTTCATTGATTTTAAATCAGCTTGAATGTCGTTTATAGAAGCTAGCAGTTTTTTCATGTTGCCATCATTTTGCTTAAAAGTTTCTTTACAAATGTTACAAAACCATTTGACACCGGCTACAGGTTGAATATCTCCATAAGAAGGAGGTAACTTCACACATTTGAGGTGAAATAATTTTAAACAATTTCCATCGCACGGTATACCTGGATTGGATCGGCTGAGCGAATTGGAACAAACACCGCAAACATCAGGCATCTCGAAAAAGCGTTGTAAGAACTAGTCACTTTTTATTAACAGGTAGATTGTTTTATCGATTACCACAACTAATTGCCAGCCGAAGATTAATTAGGAAGCAAATCACTAGAATTGCGTGCACTATACACTGATGTTTCTTATATCTGCAAAACTAGGTAGAGTAGACTTTCCGTGTGAACTGAGTTGGACAAGAAGCTATATATGTGAACTAGTATAATTTGAATGGTTGACGGAGCACGAATTTTAACGTGTTGACTACACAACTGCCTAGACTAGAATATGTTCTGAATTTCTACTTTTCTCCACTTGTATTGTCATTTTTACTATTCACAGGTACTTTTCAAGTCTGATGATAGCCGTTATGCCGAAACTGGTTACATGTAATAATTGAAGTTTTATTGTATATAAACTGTGATCGACCGACTTCGAGCTTCTCGTTTGTCTTTTGAAACTTCTTTACGTCTGTCTTGACAGAGCATCAACATCGAACTGAAGGGTATTTTGGGTTGTCAATATGTAGGAACATCGAGATTCACTACCTGATTCTGAGGCGAGAATGCATTTGGCACATAGCCGAAGCACAGTTGCGCCACAGCCAATCAGGGAGCGTGTCAGATGTCATAATCAGTTGGATATTTTAGCACACATTTCAAAAATAATAAATGAAAATAATTAAATAAAATAGATGAACCTTTTTTCTTGAAGAAGGAGAATTTTTCTTGAGGAAGGAAAATATTGTTTCTGCATAAAAAATGAGAAAACCTAACCTATCTATTTTATGAGTAGGTATATCTGTACTTGTTTCGTTGACCTGTGTAAAACTTAATGTTTATTAACACCAAATAAAATATTCTATTCTATTCTAACCTAACCTAACCGAACCTCACCTCTGGCCGAAACATAGAAAACCCCTAAATGAACCTATTTCCCAAAGAGAATATTTTTTAGAAATCACTTGAGGACAAGAAAAAAATAAAAAAAAAGATGAGCCTCGCACGGATTCGAACCCCGGCCCGCCGGCTTGGCATGCCGATGCTCTGCTTACTGAGCCAACCAGTTGCTTACGAGACGAAGTATGATGAAGTACTGCCCACTATAACGTTCTCCCACCACGGAGTTATTACTTGCGGCCGTCCGCAGACGCTAATCTGTGCTTCGGCTATGTGCCAAATGCATTCTCGCGATTCTGAGAGGGGAGTAGGGGCTCGCTTTGTGTGAACTACTCGCAATAATTTTATCTAACTTGTTTGGAGGTTCACCTATGAGTGATTCTCAAAAGTTGCTGCGGAACTTAAAATTTCAATATTTTCCAGGATTTATATTTTCGACAGGAGTTTATTCTTTCATTATGTCTTGTTTTTTTTTTCATTTTCTAATATCCATATCATTAACTGCCCCAGTTTCGACAACACCCGGTGTTCGGTCTTGGTATACCAAATATATATTTTGGGAATTATTCTCAATTAATTTGGCAATATGCGTTCGGTCTCGATAGACAAAATACGTAGTGGAAACTTTCTTGATATTTTAACTAGACCGATTGAAATTTAAAAAAGTATATGAATTCTATTATTCCAGCAAGTTATGCGCGTTGAATGTTGAATTAACGAATTTGATTTTCAATTTTCGGAAAAATCAAAAAATGCCTGATGGACCTTATTCGGCTCGAAGCATAGATACTAAGAGAGAAAATCCAGAATCTACAAGAACAACTAACAAAAGAAATCATTTTTAATACTCACAATATTCAGAAGAGACAGAACATACTGTTCAACTTTATTCCGACCATGGAAGGATATCACAGTGTGGTCCACGGCTACTGCTATTTCCATCCATCTGGCAGGAAGTGAGGATGAAGAATTTCTCATTTCCGGTTTCCGAGCTGAAAAAATGTCAGTCACATGAATATACGATGTAGTTCAGACTAGATATACAGATTGGGAATAATACCAACGCCATGAGAGTTGAAAGAGTTTAGGTGGATTAATGCGCAGCATCATTTAACAATTATCAAGTAACATTTATCATTCAACAAGAAGCAATCAAAAGTTGAACTTCCTGTTTTTGATGAAGGTGTTTATGCAGACATTTAACAATTATCAATTAACAAGTAACAAGAAGTTGGCCAACTTTTAACTTTCTTACTTTGATTGAACCAGGTTTTCTTCTAGTGTGCAACTTAGTACGCAGATGATCGCGGATTGGTTTCATCGACTGGTAGAGAAAGCATGGATTATTCAGACCAATGTCAGACCTGATATCTGACAGATGTTATGAAATTTTTCTTAACATAAAAAAATTACAATTAACAAAATAATTGTGAATAAAAGTAAACAGTCTTTTCCAGATCAGAAGACATTTTGAAAACTCAGCTCCTTATGTAAATTGTAAACAACGAGTTTGTAAGGTTATTACATCGATAGCCCAGATTCAGGACATGTGAGTTCGCGTACTATACATTCGATAATTGTTGATTTGTTAATTGACAATTGTTAATTGATGAATGTTACTTGATAATTGTTGAATGTTGCTGCATAAATCCACCTTTAGTCCACCAGTTCAAAATACAGGGTTGTCTTCTGAACACCTTGGCTCTCAATTGTAAGTGGGCTTCTCACCGCCTGATGTGTATAAACTAATCAACACTAATTTCGTCGCACACCAAAATATCGCCCCTGTTATAATGTGAATAACTTTTTTCAGTTCAGAACAATTTGAATTTGGTTTACACCGTTCGATAGCCCAGTCCTTCAGCTATAATCTCGTACTTCATTGAAACATATGGTTGTTTTTCGACACTGTGCAAAATTTCGGAATATTCAAAAGGCTCTCAAATGGTGAAACATTTTTTTTTCTCAACTTAGACAACAGAGGCATGAAGATGATCTCATTACCTCGAGATGTTTCGCGAATCAACTTCCTATCTCTCTTATTTACAGAATGATCTCAAAAAATCAACTTTTTGGTTTTGCAGCCATAACTTTTTTCTACGTCAACCGATTTTAGAAATCTTAGGCTCATTTTGAAGATAAAACTTCAGATGAAGAGATCTGGATATCAGAATTGACTCAAGATGGCTATCAGAGATCTAGAGTTTTCTTGAAAGTGACCCAAATCTGGAACGCCCTCCGAATCTCGGTTGGGAGGAGAATTGAATGAAAATCAACTTGTTCTCGGAAAAACAATTCATTCTGGATGCGTCCATATTTTCCTCGCTCTCAGTAGTCAAGAATTATGCGTGAGAAAACACAATTGAAACATGTTCTTGCAAAAACATTGGACCATTTCTCATCTGTAATGCATGGCCCGTAACCAACGTTACAAGAATCACAATGGACTGACAAACCCGACCAGCCAAGGCTCATCATAAATGATGTACCAACAACCCTATGCGGTCTCGCATTGTCATCAACGAGAACAAAGTTGTCACCCACATTCGCGTTAGATGCGGCATCGAAACTATCGAAATCTGTTTATGATTCGAAAACGACGTCTAACCTGACTTGTCAGTCACTTACTTCTTGTAACGTTGGTTACGGGCCATGCATTACAGAGGAGAAATGATCTGATGTTTCTGCAAGAACATGTTTCAATTGTGTTTTCTCACGCACTTTCTTGACTACTGAGAGCGAAGAAAATATGGACGCATCCAGAATGAATTGTTTTTCCGAGAACAAGTTGATTTTCATTCAATTCTCCTCCCAACCGAGATTCGGAGGGCGTTCCAGATTTGGGTCACTTTCAAGAAAACTCTAGATCTCTGATAGCCATCTTGAGTCAATTCTGATATCCAGATCTCTTCATCTGAAGTTTTATCTTCAAAATGAACCTAAGATTTCTAAAATCGGTTGACGTAGAAAAAAGTTATGGCTGCAAAACCAAAAAGTTGATTTTTTGAGATCACTCTGTAAATAAGAGAGATAGGAAGTTGATTCGCGAAATATCTCGAGGTAATGAGATCATCTTCATGCCTCTGTTGTCGAAGTTGAGAAAAAAAAAGATTTCACCATTTGAGAGCCTTTTGAATATTCCGAAATTTTGCACAGTGTCGGATAACACCATGTAGAGATTTTATGTGAATACCCTCATGTTTCAATGAAGTACGAGATTATAGCTGAAGGACTGGGCTATCGAACAGTGTGAACCAAATTCAAATTGTTCTGAACTGAAAAAAGTTATTCACATTATAACAGGGGCGACATTTTGGTGTGCGACGAAATTAGTGTTGAGTAGTTTAGTTTGTCCAAAGTCAATTGAAGCGCCTCGAGCAAGGTACCTACAGGTACCTTTATTCGCCACGTGTACAAACTTCAAACGAACCGACTCCACCTGGCGTATGTTTCCTGCCGGAGCTGCTTCAATGAGCAACTGGACTGATATTCAGTATCCCCCTGCCATTTTTTCAACGGGTCAACTGAATAAATTTGAAAATGAGGATAATGAAATCAATGCATGAATAATATATTTTGGAGTAAAATAGACCAATGAGAATTTCAAGATGGCGACTTGGTGCCATCTGGGAGAAGGAATCTAAATGGAAAGGGAAGGGGTCTTGTGATTAATCCTTTCGAAGCTTCTAACGAATACTTCACAACCCTAGAATATGAAGTGAATATAGTTACCTACTACGAAATAGCGGAATATTTCATAATTCAGTGAATACATCGACGTTTACTTCCTAATTTGAAATGAGCTGAGTTCAGTTCAAGAGATGCTCCAGATAGTTGCACATAAGAACAGCCTTTCCGATATTTCACGCCGAACACTTTCCAACACAGTTTCGTCGATATTTCTACAAATATGTATCATTCTCTGCCGTGTATCCAATATTGGAGCAGGTGCAGTTCCGTACACATCCTGCTTCGAATAGACCTCAAAAAAAAGGTCTGAAGGTGTCAAATCTAGCTAGCGGGCTGGCCATTCCGAAGGACCTCGACGGCCAATCCAAACGACCGTGAAAAGTATCATTTTAATGTTTCTCACTTGTCTGGAGCAATGTGGTGGTGCTCTATCTTGTTGGGATACAATATCCATATTGATGTGTTTGTATTCAGGCATCTATCAAATGTTCCACCACTTTGTAGTAGGTGAAGATTTTGACCTTATATTCTAGGGTTGTGAAGTATTCTTTAGGATTTTCAAAAAATGAATCACAAGACCCCCTTTTCATTTGAGTTTTTTTCTCCAGATGGCGCCCAATCGCAATCTCGGACAAATTTCATCTGTCAATATCACTCCAAATTGAAGTAATCATACATCAATTTCATTAACCCAAGTTTCAATTTTTTTTTGTGGATCTTTTGGGTAGGGAAACACATTTGAGAACAGCACTGTATTTAGTATCAACGTTACAAGGCTGAGATGTAGCAAAATACGAGGTTGAATATTATAATTCAAGGCGCAGCCGAGGATGACAAGCACCAAATCCATTATTTGCGTGGCCGTGTGTCGTAATCCCTCTGAAAGACAAAACAGACAAACAGACAAACAGACAAACAGACAAACAGACAAACAGACAAACAGACAAACAGACAAACAGACAAACAGACAAACAGACAAACAGACAAACAGACAAACAGACAAACAGACAAACAGACAAACAGACAAACAGACAAACAGACAAACAGACAAACAGACAAACAGACAAACAGACAAACAGACAAACAGACAAACAGACAAACAGACAAACAGACAAACAGACAAACAGACAAACAGACAAACAGACAAACAGACAAACAGACAAACAGACAAACAGACAAACAGACAAACAGACAAACAGACAAACAGACAAACAGACAAACAGACAAACAGACAAACAGACAAACAGACAAACAGACAAACAGACAAACAGACAAACAGACAAACAGAAAAACAGACAAACAGACAAACAGACAAACAGACAAACAGACAAACAGACAAACAGACAAACAGACAAACAGACAAACAGACAAACAGACAAACAGACAAACAGACAAACAGACAAACAGACAAACAGACAAACAGACAAACAGACAAACAGACAAACAGACAAACAGACAAACAGACAAACAGACAAACAGACAAACAGACAAACAGACAAACAGACAAACAGACAAACAGACAAACAGACAAACAGACAAACAGACAAACAGACAAACAGACAAATAAGTAAATCTTACCTCTTCATAATATAGGTATAGATAAATTAGTGCTAGTCGGGGGTCAACTGCACCTTTCAGATATGGATTATTCATTACGTTACGGTTCGCTTACTACATAACCTACTGTTCGACATTCGATTTGGAATTAGCCTTCAATTTCCGGCCGGACAGAAAATCCGCCATAGTCCGATCAACGAATGTTTGGGGAGAGGGTGCAGACTGCAGAGTGCTTGGAAGGGACAGCATTTTTTTGTTTTAGAGATCGATTTGGGGTCTTTAGGAGGTGAATATCCTGAAGTACTCGGAAAACCTCCAATGATGACTTATTTTCTTGATTATATTGATCGAATACGATGACAACACATGAAAACTTCGTGAAAAAATCTACAGCATTTTATGTAGCCAGAAAAGTGCGCATATTCTACTATACTCTCGACTTATCCGCTCCTGCAAATCGCCTACTTCTGTAAAACATTGTTGTGGAAAACAATTGTTGTCAAATTGCGCTATCAAATACGCCAAAACTCCAAATTGAATCATTTCTAGCAATTTCTTTTTTCATTTTTCGGAGTGCACCAATGAGAATTGTATTATTTTTCAACTTTTGTAGGTTATAAGTTCTGGGAATGAGTTCTCTGCAATATTTCTTTCCTTCTTTGTATAATTTGAAAGTTCGATTTGGAAACATTGTTTCATTTCGCACTTTACACCTTGAATGCCGTTGTCCAGTATACTGGACATTTGAGATCTCAACACATTATACCTCGTCCACTTAACTGGACGCGTTTAAACAGCGGGTATATACACTATCTTTTGGTGTCGCACCACGAAGTTGGTTTTATATATGTATAGTACGGGATATTGTTGAGGATTTTTTGGTTTGTTTTGGCAATTGAGATGGATATACTAGAATAAATGCGGCAACATACATGGGGCGAATCACTTGGTTTGCAATGGCTTTTTCTCGCATTTGGTCATGATAATTGGCTGATTTTCGAGCCGAGTTTTTCGTGAAAGAGTGTAAAGTTTAGTCATTTTTCTGACATATCTACAAATACTATAATGACGCAACCCCAAGGTAAGGCTTGCCTAATTTTGTTGAAATGTCCGAATGGAAACCCAGCCAGCAGGGTGACGTCAATTCTCGTCAAATCGACGTGGAAAATAAGTGGCAATTGGTCGTCGCCAAGATTCGACCAATAAATGACGTAATTTTGACGTGTTCCAAAAACGTATCTGATAGACGTCATTTGACGTCATTTAGACGTAGAATCTGCACCAATCATGTTGTTTTATTTCGAAAAAATTACTCCAATCCAGGACTCATGATTAAACGCTTATCAAAATAAAATAGGTACCTACCTACCTTAGTAAAGGATTCACGTATACTCGACATGGATGAACCTAAGTGGTGAAATATGTAGAACAAATATTAATAAAAAACACCCAGATATATTGGAAACAGATACGAAAGATTCAAGAATTTATTAAATGTATACAAATATGGTTATACCAGGTGCCTATCCATGTTTTATATTGGCGCGCCACGTCAAGACATACAGATGCTTATGATTGGTCAATCCGTGCTCCGTGGCTTCGTGTTTCTTCGTTTCGTACTATGCCATCGCTACGCTACCCCTATCGGCCATCGTCGTATAGCACAGTTTGTCGTAATCATGCGCATGCGTGATCAAGTTCATCGAATGTTGTAATGGCGGATTCGTGATTTTGGGTCAATGAAAACAAGGATACCATGGAAAAGTGGAGTTCAGCAAAATATATTGCAGTTCGCTGGTTATTTCATCAATTCGAGGCAGTAGAAATGTTTGTGGGAATACAATATTCCGAGGAAAGGCATTGCTCTCGTTCAGTAGAAGTGGTTGACACCATGACGCCTCGTAAGGCTGCGAAGTGTAGTGGCCGCCTATCAAACAGCAAGACTTTTTCAACAGGTCAATAATCAAGAAAGCGAAATCTACACATTAAACTTATCGGAAGTTGTTCGATGTAGTGAGGTCGTTATTTGAAGAAGTTGATCTATAAATACCTTAAATCGTAGGTACAAGAATAATTTGAGGTTATTAGGTTGAGATTCCTTTGAAACTTGACATCTTGGTTAATGTCTACTTATGCTATGGAATATAGTGAATTTTATGCTTATTAGTTTTATTCAGATAAAGAATACCTATGTATAATTATGTAAACAATTATATATAGATCATTTGAACAGTTTTGCCAACCATCAAGAAATGGGATCATGGAAAAGTGATTTCGAGTTTCACAGTTTCTTGGTGATGTCGAAACCTGGACCTGATGCTTGGTAACTATTCGACGTGTAGACGATGTCGCTAAATGACGTTGTAACGACGTCGCTAAATGACGTCGTTTCGATGTGACATATTGATGTCACATTTACGTCTCTTTCACGTCGATAATTTGGTGATCTTGACGTAATTGGTGACGTGTATATGACGTGAAATTGACGTGTGAATGCTAGATGGAAAGTTCTTTGCATAAATATTCGATGGTTGAAAGTCAAGCAGAGAGAGCTAATAATGAGAAGATTAAACCAGCATGTATTATTGATTATAATAAACACATGTCACACACTCCAAGAAAAACCGTGAGGTGATATCGCACATTTGATTTCCATTTGTTGGATTTGTGTATGTGGAAAACTTAATCGGAATAAAAATGTCAGACTCTTGGACTTTCGTGAAGAAATAATTATCAAGCTAACGGATCAGCAAATAGAAACTTTTGTTGAATCTCCTCAAGCCGAAACAACAAGAACAAACAAATTCAATTTATTTGAGCCGAATCAATCAACAGAAAAAATATCCGAAATGAAAAGATTTTGCCAATGGTCGAACATGAAAGAAAAAAAGGAAACTAGTAATTTTTGCCCTGTTTGCCCCAAAAAACCTGGTTTATGTATCCATCCTTGCTTCAAAAATTGGAATGCATCGCCCATTTAGGTTTCTCATATCTAAATTTGATCTCATTTCAACTTTTTTGTATTCGATAAAGGAAATAAATAAGTAATTCACTCAGTTTAGTTTTTCTCTTTTTGATGAAATGTGAATGTCCAGTTTACTGGACAGCAGGCTATACATGCTAAAACCCCAAATATCGTCAGTGAACTGGACAACTGCTGGTGACCTTGAAAACGTCAGCATGAATTAGCAAGACCATATATTCTCTAATTACGCTTGAAAAAATAATAATTTACTCAAACCTAGCCTTGGTTTCTCAGAGCCTCTTACTCCAACCATACGTGGCATTTAACGTGAAATAGACAGACAACTCTTGCCTGAAAACAGTCTGTAGGTTAATCAAGGTGGTGATTATATCAGCTAGGGTTCTTTTAGTTCATTCTACCAGTATATCACCTGACGAAGCTACTGTGTTAGCGAAACATGTTGTGTGTTTTTACATATATCATTTCGTTATCAGATGCCGGCTCTTGGACTATAACTCACTTTGTGCTCATGTTTCAGATGATAGCTATCATTACATGATCGTTAAATGAAATAATACATCCGAACTAACCTTGGACAGTATTCGTAGTCCAGCCAATATCATAAAAGTATCCATCATCGCCCGTCCAATACTGCCAATCTCCTTCTTGAAGCAGGTCTGGATTGTTGTCAGTGGTATTCGTCGATAAAATCTCATTTTCTGTCACTTTTTCTTCTGTTCCCTCGAGAAACTCGTGTTCGAAGCGGATTCCTTCGTCTTCGTCATCGATCTCGAAGGTGTCACCTGTCAAATTGTAGACCCATTGTTCGGAAACACTGTGTGGTGCGGAGTTCTTCAAGGTGGCTGAACGTTTTTGTGGAAAGTGGGGAAGGTTGCTGTGGAGCGAAAATATTATATTTATTATACCTGTTCCAATGAATTATCTCGGCGATTTCGAAAAATAAAAATTCGAAAATAGCATGATCCATCCCCAATTCATTCAATGAAGCTTCAAATGAGAGAAACAAAAATTGAAAGTTACTTCCGGTTTCACCAGAAGTGACTGTAACTTTTTTATTTCGAATAGCACCCTGTATATTTTTTGCAATTTTTGATTTCTACTCAAAATTACCGTTTCAACGATGTATCACACTTTGTATTTCAAATTTGATTCGATGGAGAATACGACGATAGAAATTTCAAATTGAACGAATTGCAGTAGGCTACGATATTTTTGCAATCTTGATTTTGATATCAATAATAATTTCAAGTCATTAGAATTGTAGTAGATCATGTAATTTCAAATTTTTATCTTTCAAAATGGCTGAGATAATCTATTGGAACAGGTATACTGGGACAACCGGTATATCAAGGTGGAAAGTGTTTGATTACTGTCGATAGATTCGATAGTTTACTGAGGTGCGTAGCGCCGAAATGAACTTATATCTGGAGACAGTGATGTAACTTTCAACCGAGGTTTGTATGCTATTTTATTTACAACCATGATGTTAACAAGAATTCGGCTGAAAGCATGTTATTTCTCCTTAATGTTTCTCAAACATTAGCAATAAAACTAGGGAGACAATCATATAAAGGTAACTTCTATTATGACAACTAACAACAAATGACTTATTTCTTCTGTGACGGGAAAAAAATTGAAATTACATCTCTGTTGACAAGTTATAGTCACTTTCCATAAATCACTTTTTTTCCACGGGAAAGAAGTAAGTTCTTCTTTCCCGGATATATATCACTTATATATATACTGCAAGTCCTTCTGACTCCATTCGACTTTGCGGTTCCGTTAATTACTAGACAACTACTAAATTCGAAATATTTCAGAATTGAGTCACAGAAATTTGATTACTTCAGGAAAATGATACAGATGCGCCTGCGAAAAGATGCCTGTCACGCAGGTGTCATTCCTGTTTCTGATTTCACTTCGTTAGTTTTATGATTTCAATGTTATATGATATCTTCTCGAAATTCTCGAGAATGAATAATTCGTCGATACTTTTGTCGGGCAGTTCGTGTCTACTTTGAGATGCACCTTTCGTGGCAATTGCTCGACCAACTTGCTCGTTGTGTGAAGAAAGCAATTCTTTAAGTCATTATTCATCCACAAGTTTCCTGAAAGTTCGGTTATACATCTGAAACGTTTCTCGCTAACTGAAGAGTTCAGTGAGAAACTAATCACAATTGTTGACTTCCCCTTGATCGGCTTGTACATGATCGAGCCTCTATGCAGCTGAATACATCATTCCATGTCCTCACAAGTCACAATCTGTATGTTATCTCAAATCTCAGCGATATACCACCTACAGTGGACACTACACAGCCTACTGCATACAACTTTGTACGGAAATTTGGCTCGAGTACAATGATTCTCTTGTTTCTTCAATTTCATCAAATTCTCTTCCCAGCGAGCACAAACATCCCTGGGATGTTTTGGGATGTTTTGAAAATGTTGGCATGAAGATGTTATTTTGAGACGTAATATGCACTGACCAAAGAGGTCTTTGAAGGATATTAAAGTATTGTTTTTGTTCTTCTGTGGCATTTCTTTGTTTGCCTACTGAGAGGTGTCCCTGGGATGTTTTGGGATGTTTTAGAAATGTAGACATGATGATGTTTTTTTGAGGCTTAATATGCACTTTCCAAAGAGGTATTGTTTTTGTTCTTTTGTGCCCTTTCTTTGTTTGCCCCACCACAACGTCTCATGCTTACGTCACAATACGATGAATTCTGATTTGTTTTCGATTTTGTTCTTCTTGTTCGCAATTGGCATTCGCGTTTGCAGCGTGTCACGCTTACATCTCGCTGCTAACGAACAGAAAGGAATTTGGTGAAGTTTTAATCAATATAAAAAAGTACGAATTTATCAATACACAGCTTTTCCGCAGTTGCATAATCATGCATTGTGGAGAACATTCCAAAAATTGGGAAACCTATTTCCAATTATATGTCTGTGTGTAGTAAGCACTACTTAGAAACCGATCAAGAAGGTAATTTCATATCAAAACAACATTTTTATGTTCAATCTATTTTTAATGCATTTTTTCATTCAAGGAAAATGGATTGCTAATGCAAAAGTTCATTTTGACAAAAGGCTTCAGAATAGTACCTCGAAAATGGTTTATTTACAGCGATTTAATGTGCGCAAGACGCGTTGAAAATGTTCTGTTGTGTCCATGAAAAGGCTTTAAAAGGAACTAGGGAGAAGGTAGTTTTGTGACATATCGAGGACATCTCGATAATTGCCGCCTGCGGCGGACATTGGCTGTTTTATAATAGTTCTATTCATGTGTGAACAGAACATCGCAGTGGAGGTTCAATATCTCGAAATCTCGTACTTTTAACATCTCTGAGATGTTTTTGTGCTCGCTGGGTTGTCAGTGGGGATGCTTATATTATTTTTTAGGAACAAGAGGCTAACCCATAAAGGAAATCAAATACGGAGTTCAAGACGCCTTTACTGGTGACAACAGATCCCAACACGAACAATGTGATGGTGACTCAGTGAAGGACTACTGCACCGTAGCTGATCCCGATGACACCCTTCGTACTGTCCAATATTGATTCATCCTTTCTCCTATCACAGAAAAGAATCACACGGATAGAATATCAGATTTGAGCTCATGGTTTTTCGTCTCCCTCCGCTTTGTCTAATGAATAACTGTTTCTCAACAGTGAGTAGGCGATAATTTGTTTCTGTCATTTCTATAGCGTTTGATAATACTTGAAACAAGTCGGTGTTGCGGACGGAGTAATTAAAATTGTTCATGAAATGTCGGATATAGATTTGAAGTGAACACCGCCAGACATCGAGGAAGCAGCAGAGAAAGCTGAAGAAAATCTTCTTCCCCAAGAAGGTAGACCGAAGTATAATGAAGCATATCATACGTACCAAGATCAGTTCACCAAAGAAAGGGCCACAGAAGCAGGATCGGAAAACATCGTTCACGGGTGCAAAATTTTCCACCGGTGGGTGAGAAGTAAAAGTAGCCAATATATCAGTTTCAAACCTTTTAAACGTCACTAATGATGTCATTACATATTCGCGGGAATCAATGTTACCAGGTGGCGCTCGGTTTTCATCGTTCCATGTCAAAGCCACGTCAAAATTGGGGGAAAACAAACTCAATCCTCACTCAACACTCAATCCCATTAGTGCCGTTAGCTTATGTACTGTGTACTGATGAGAGTGATAAGTTTTTAAATTTCTTGACATTAATTATCAATATTCGATCGATAACGCTAATAATGCCTGTTGTAGATGTTTTTTGGCAGACCTTTTGCTCTATGCTGTATGCAATGTAGTCAGTTTGTTTTTTCCCAGTTTGAAGTTCGTATTATGTAACCTAGATGTCGCCCACTTCGTGAATCTCGCGAATATGGCCAGGTGATGGCCAGCGTAGCGTCAGTATTCTATCCACATTGGATTGTTGGTAGGCGGGTTCGATTTCCACCACGACCGCAGATTTTTTTCTAGTAGCCTAAGAAAGTGTTTGGGATCACACGTTGAAAGGTGAGACCCCGTCATTCCTTGCTCGTCCTGAAGACTTTTGAGGGTTGCTAGTAAGGGGGCAACCGAATGATGGATAAGGACAACAATTTTATAACAATCTTGGAACAATTTTAGAACAATCTCAGAACAATTCAGAACAATTTTGAAACAAATTCAGAACAATATCAGAACAAAATATAGTTGTGATTAATAGATATTCAACTAACCAGTTAGGAAACGGGTCATTTTGTGTGACGATGTGATCTTGCGGGACGAGCGAAGAGAGATCCCGCAATGGCCGCAATACACAGAGGCACACATAGTGCGTTCCCCAACGAACAATGAGTCCTTCTCATTTTGACAAAACATTTCGTTTCAACAGATATAATGAAAAGTTCTATAGGGCTGTCCAAAAAAATCCAGAATTTTGTTTTCGAGAAATAACTTTTTTAATATTGAACCTTTTTGATTGATTCCAATTTTCTTTGGAAGAGAATTGAACAGGACATAACGTCAACTCTATACCTATCTATCGAATTCTTTCATAAATCAAAATACCGGATACACCAAAACTAGGCCGAACGTAAAAACATGCGGTGGACTTTTCCGAGTCACTCTGTATAATTTTTGTGTGATATTTTGAGGTCGTGTACTTTTCTGAACAGAAGACAAGGTCAAACATGCGAATCCGTCAAAAAAATAATTAACACATGACAGGATGAAGACAGGTGTGTTTAAATATCTGGATTCCGATTTGCTTGCGTTTTGTTGGTTTGCCTGTATTTTCTGTTTGGAAAATGACATGAAACAAATATAATATTCTCAACGAATCAGATTTCACAAAAAATAATGAAGAATCAACTCCATTCGATTCAACATACAAATGAAAAATTATTTGAAGAGGAAAATTGCAACAGAAATTGTGAAAATACATTTCCAAATTCATTGCAAAGAAATTAACTTCAAATCCCTTGGGATTTGAAGTAACTTCAAATCCCTGGGGATTGGAAGTACCATTTTTGTCCCGAAAATAGGAAATAAAGGTATCTTTCAAGTCCCTGAAGTGCATTAGATATATTAATAATAACAAATCAGAATATTCAAAATTGTTGGCGAGGTTGGTTGTAACGTTCCAATTGCCCCGGGAAATAATGTTACAATTGCCCCCAACCGTTCTCCTCAATAATTTTCATGTTTCTTGTTATAAACAGGGGCAAAAATTGACAATAACCTGTGGTCAAGCTATCCAGAAATATCCGTACTATACGATGAATTTGAGTTGAAGTACATACCTAGCTGTATCCAAAAAACGTATATCTTACTTAGAACTCGAAAAATATTACTTCAGGGAATTGGAAAAAACAACCACGTGCCCTTGCATGAAACAGTTCAATGCCGATATGACCAACATACATATGCTAACTGACAGTGTTGCCATATCAGAAAACTGGTGCGAGCTCAGTTGACGTATTCTTTTTATCAGATATCAGATTTATGTATTTCGCCCCCTGCCACTTTCAACCATGGTCGACCCTACCCCCACGAAGATATCCAATTTCAAGAAAAAGTTTGCCATTCAATACAGATTCCGAAATGATATAACATATGGGGTTTTTCGAAACAGGCTTTTTGTTATTAATTTTCTTCGAATGGGTCACAGTTTTGAACCATCAACAATTTGATATAATCACTTATACCGTTCGATTGATTGCATATGACCTCGCCTAACACCCCACTTCTTTGGATCTATGACTTATGGGACACCCTGTATTTGATTCAGTCACAAACAGTTTTTTGTCTTGAATGAGAAATCAAATTGATGGCACATAGAAAGAGTTTTTTTGAGTTGCTCCTCATAGCTGTTATGGTCATGGCTATATGATTTCAATTATAGAATCGAAAAGAAGCGCTTTCAGTTTGACAAAACTATGATGATTGGAATATATTGCTAGTAGTCAGGAAGAATTAAGATACTCCTTTTGGTTGTGCAATTCATTGAAAAGATTCCTATATGTTGCACACTCAAATGACCACACTGTATAGTGTATATGTCTCTATAGACCATTTATTCAGCTATTTATCTCTGTATAGTGTATCTACATGTTCTGTTTGATTTCAAGTGTTTTTGACGTGTTCGTTCATTTATATTCCAGATGTGAATACTTATTTTATATGGAAAACGAATAAAGTATCTATCTATCAATCTATCTATCTATCTATCAGCAGCAGCGATTACTGCATACTATTCATTTTTGGAGAGTCATCTCCGGTATGGAATTCCTTTCTGGGGCTCAGGCAGCCAGACCTTAATACAAATTATATTCGTTATCCAGAAAATAGCTTTGTGAATAATATATTCAAATTGAAGATGCGTGACTCGTGTAGGCCAATTTTCTGCAGGAACAAAATCTCAACAATTTTTGAACTATTTATTTAAAAGACTGTCTGCCTACTTCACAAACATAAGGAGAAGTTTGTATATCATTCAGGAAGGCATACGCGCAGCGACAAAAAACTTGCTCTTCAACTGCCTATATCATCTTTGACCAGGCAGTCTCGAATCTATAGAAGTAGACAAATATATAATCATCAATTACTGAACTTGAACAATTTAGAAAATCAGTAGAAAACCTTGTTATGGAAAAGGGCTTCTACAGTTTGGAAGAGTATTTTGCATACAAATTCTAGTGTTCCGGCATACTACGATGTATATCACGATTTTTCAAGTAATTCTGAAATTGTTGTTATTGATAACATATTTGTTTACTTTTTTCATCCTTCATGTTTCTATTGTCTGTTTTCAATCTTAACTGTATTCTTGTGAATGCTTAACAATCAAAACATGTATTTATAAACATGACAACCTTTGTCGACAAAATATACTACATTTTAGACAATAGAGATGTATTCTCTATCTAACTATTACCAACCTTCGATAGAGAACATGTCTGCCGGTACTCTCGTCCGCCTCCTCCAGAAAGTAAAATTCGCCGTCGACATCGAAGTAGCCGGTGACGGAGCGACCGCAGAGCGTCACCGCCGCCCTAGACCGGTGCACCGCCTCTCGCACCTTTGCCACGCGATATTCGCAGAGAGGGGGTGGGACAAAAGAGCTGGAACCGTCTGAGAGCGACCATTCGCTTTGCAGGTCTGCGGCAAGTAACAGGTTGTCTTTGGGAGGGTCAAGCACCAAAGACCAATCTCCCACTTTGACCACCTAATGAAAACGATAATCATCCATAATTATATGAATTTCAACTCACTCCAAGAATACTTGTGTTTTGCTGTGGAAATATGAAATTTTCGAACACTGTGAATGTAGATATGGAGTTTATTGAATTAATATTGTCTCTAATATAAAAGCTGTGACTGCTTCATGCTTGTATGCCTTTTTTCAATGGAAAATCAAAATTTTTCAACATTGAATGTAGATATGGCCTATTTCGAATTGATATTTTTTCTGATATATAAGAACTAAGTTTTTCATGCTTTTTTCACTATTTCTATTATGAATGAAATTGTCATCTGCCAAGGAAGCTAAGGTTCATCTGATCGTTGATGTTTCGGAATGTATAGCATCAGAGACAAACTCCCACTTGAATGACTTCCTAATCGAAAAATCATTATCCAACATTTGGAAGTTATCACGAAAATTGGGTTGTGCTATGGGAAATCAAAATTTTCAAACAGTGAAAATGCAAATAAAGACTATTCTGAATGAAAATCCTCTTTGATATGGAAGCTATGACTTTTTCATGATTGTACGTCCTTACAGGATTTCATAGAGACTATTGCTAGCATCCAAACGGTAGGTGGGATGAAGTTGAATAAATCAAACAAGAGTTGCATGATTTGAACGTTCTCAATATGGCGTTCTGTAAACTGCAAAAATGTCAGTCGTTCCTGAATTGTTTTGGAAAAATGGAAATCACTGATGTTCTTTCCATTCATTTTCACATTCAAAATTATTTGAGAGTACTACTGCCGCCCTAGACCGGTGCGCCACCTCTAGCACCCCACCGCCGCGATATTTGTAGAGTGGGGGAGGCATAAAAGAGCTGGAACCGTCTCAGTGCGACCATTCGCTTCGCAGACCTGCCGCTATCAAGAGAGGTTGTTGTCGGGAGGGTCAAGCACCAGAGACCAATATTCTACTTTTACCAAATTGTTTTAAAATTGTTTTAAAATTGTTCTATCCGTCATTCGGTTGCCCCCTTACGAGCAACCCTCAGAAGTCTTCGAGAGTCTTGTGCGAGCAAGGAATGACGGGGGCCTTACCTTTTAACGTGTGATCCCAAACACTTTCTTGGGCCATCAGAAAAATTTCTGCAGTCGACGGGACTCGAACCCACGACCGGCAAGCGAATGCGGATTAGAATATAGACACTCAATTGAGCATTCTACATAAACTTTTTGTTTTGCTGTGGAGAATCAAAATTTTCTCACAATGCGAATGCAGATATAGACTACTATTTTGAATGGAAGATGTTACTCATCTATATTCATAGATCTTTGTTCACTGTTTCTATCATGAATGATTGCCATTGATGTGCAAAATGATCGGAGGTTTATCTTCTCATCTATTTTTGGGTTCATCTTCTTTGTGAGGTTCTAGCACCTACGACCAATCTCCCAGTCTGACCACCTGATTGAACATTCATCAGCCATAATTTGAAACTAACTATGTGATTTGCTGTGGGAAATCGATATTTCCGAACGCTGAAAATGCAAATATGGTCTATTTTGAATGAATATATCCTTTTAGGTCTCCGTTCACAGTTTCCATCTTGAAAACAATTTCTAATTGAATGTACCAAGTGCGCAAAGGTTCATCTTCTCATCAATTTTAAGAAGGGTCTAGCACCATTGGAGACCAATCTCCCACTTTAACGACCTAAGTGAGTATTTGTCATCTATATAACTAACTACAAACATCATGTTTCGCTGTGAAAAATCGAAATTGTCGAACACTGAAAATGAAATCATTTTCTATTTCGAATGAACATCCTTTCTGATATGGAAGCTAAAACGAGTCATATTTGTTAAGAATAGTTCACTCGTTTCTCATGAATAAATCAATAATTTACGTCGTATTTTCATTTGCTGGTGTTGCGTTATGCAACTTTAGCGATAGACCAAAGAATTCAGATTGCCAAATTGGCATTCCTTCGACTGTCATGACATCGTTAGAAATTATGTAGGTAAGTCATGGTTGATAGAGGAAATGTTCATGAAAGCTGCCTTAGGTAAGGTTCCGTTGAGCCTCAGCTGGTAAGAGAGTCCTTGTTCGAAAATGGAAGAAGGGGTAGGCGCTGGTGTTTATGGACCCGGATGTAGGCTATTTGATGCCTCAGGTCACTCCTTCAATATCTTTCAAGCTGAAATGCATGCCTTCAACCTATGCGTCGAAAACCACGATAATTTGTTTCGAAAAAGAGAAGGAATTCAGAAAAAATCTTTTTGAAATACACAGGGTGTTCCGTAAGGTCACAGCACATCAAAGCTATGTTTTTTTCATTGGAACACCCTATATTTTATTTCATTTCTGAATTCTTCCTGAAGATCTGATTTCAACGACGTATCTTACTCAGGGTCTAGCAGTGAACGTAACTGATATATAGGGTGTGCAAAATCGAGATTTTCCAAGTTCAGGATTTTTTTCTGTCGAAACTATTCATTATTCGTCAAAACGGTTTACATGTCCCTATCTCAACTTTTCACTCACTATCAATTGGTGTTCAATTGACATTTAATTGAAACAAATTATAAATTAAGATTTTTTGACCACCTTGTATCAATTTCAATTGAACACCAATTGATAGTGAGTGAAAAGTTGAGATAGGGACATGTGAACCGTTTTGACGAATAATGAACAGTTTCGACAGAAAAAAATTCTGAACTTGGAAAATCTCGATTCTGCACACCCTATATGTCAGTAACTTTCACTGCTAGACCCTAAGTATGATGGGTCATTGAAATCAGATCTCCAGGGAGAATTCAAAAATGAAATAAAATATAGGGTGTTCCAATGAAAGAAACATAGCTTTGATGTGCTGTGACCTTACGGAACACCCTGTGTATTTCAAAAAGATTTTTTTCTAAATGTGAAGCTTGGTTATTACTTCAATTTTGATTCATGATTTTTTTTTGTATCTCTCAAGACAACGAACAGAGAAATCGAACTCTGGAGTCATAGTTGGCCACCCTGTACAAGTGTTCACCGTGTCCCAGCTAAAATGTCCCCCCCTGTAAAAAATCAACCACGCAATCGAATGTCTTGAAATTTTTTCACCCATGCAGTATATGCTATTGAATGAATCGTATGTATACAGGGTCACACCGAAGTGCACCTAATTTATTTTTATTTGAATAGGGACACCCAGTATATTATTCCATTTCCAAGTAGATTTTACTATTACAAATTCAACAATATCGGGTTTGATGGGATTGTTTCAAACGACTACGAAGATATGGCAAGAAATAAAACGATTCGATAAAAAATTTATATGATTAGATTTTATCAATATAACACGATTGAAATCGAATTTTGTTCAAATAATTTAAACCTCAACTGCTCAATATGTCGTCCATTCTGCTGCAAACATTTCCCAGCTCTTTTGATAACGTTTATTGTGACCCTATATTTACATGTAGGACTCGTCGTGACATAGCGAATTATTGCAAATCAAATCATCGCTTTCATTATCTGATAGGTCGCAGTAGATCACTTGATGCCTATCAAATGTTCTTATTTATTCGAAAAAAAAATGTTGAAATGTGATCAAGAAAACTGTTGGTGGCCCACCCCGAAACTACAAAAACAAAGACAGCATGAGAGAAGCTGCCTGCCCTCATGACTGCCTGCTTACGTCTCGGTCTCCCCACCGCTTAGGTAACGATCGAGCGTGTTCGGTGAACACACGGGTATGGTCTCGAGACTCTTGTCCAAGCCACAGCCGTCTGTGGCCAAGCCGTTCACTTTCGCTTCGCCGACTCGCCGTTGCGGCCATGATGACCATAACAACAAAATAACAATACATAGAAGGCCATCATTATCATGTTATTCGGCTATCTATGTGGTGTGGTGTGGTGGTCATACTTATTCATATTCATGTATCAAGTAGTAGAATTTGGGGATGGCAGCATGGTCATTATTTTAGACAAGTGGTGTATGCCGAAAAAGCAGAATGTGAATTGGACGCCATTGAAGGAATACCATAGGGTTCTGAGAAATCACTCGAGTGCATCATCCGAATGGGATAAGTTCCCAATAAAAAGAACATTTTATGAAAGTGGTATTTATAGTACCTACCTATAATATTATTTTGTATTTAATGTGGTCGTCTTTTCTGATAATATTGATACAACCCTAATACAACAGTGTATTTTTCACCTACAGAAAATTTCGAAATAGCACAAAATAAACTGAAACATGCAGAAGATTTCAGTGATATAAATAATCGTAAAGATCACGTCATTTTGACGCCATTAGGATGTCGTCATTTTGACGCCATTAGGATGACGTCATTTTGACGACATGAAAATGACGTCATTCGTCTTTGACTTAGAAGGTCATATAAACGTCATTATGACGTCATTTTGGAAGTCATCCTGACGTCAGGCCTGACGTGATAATGACGTACAAATGACGTCAGCTTGTTACCTGGGCTACCACAACAGCTTATCATGATTGACAAAGCACTGACAAATTTTGTTTGGCACTCGAAACTACTCTGATGCTTTTATCCAGAGAAAAGTCATTCAGAAGAACTCAAAATCTCCAAAAGTTGAAAACCATTCCAATACCTAACTCCTCTTCCTACCCTAACACTGGAATGTCCTAGGTACTTCTGTTTTTTGTCCCGTGGTACAAGGACATGATTGTGACATCCAGGGGATGTTCCGCAGTGGTTGTCCAGTGGACATCCCGCCCGGTTCATCCCTAGGTCATCTCATTCGTGACCCTGGAATATCTGATATCCATTCACATCAGAGAGTCATTGAATTTCATCAAAATATTGAGTAAAATTTTTTCGAAAATGTATTTCTCCCAGAAAATAATTGTAATGAAAATAGAGAACATAGTCTCGAAACTTCTCAAAAGAAATGACCATTTTTCGCAAACAGAAATCGTAAATGCATAATGCCTCTCATTTTTAAACACCCAAGAATAATAATGACTATACCCGAATCCTAACAAAGTTTTATTTATTCAGGTTTCTGTAGT